TAACAAATGAGGAGGAAGGGACTTGGAGGGGAGAGAAATGAAGGGATTAAACTGGAAGAAATTGATCTCTCCAACAATGGAGAGGTTTGGAAGGAAAAATCATCATTTCCCCCTCCCCCTCCCCTCCCCCTCCTGTAATAGACTAGCAATTCTACTGTAGTTAATGAGTGAAACTAAGGAATAGAAGATTGGCTATTAATTGATTGATTCATCAAAAGGGGATACAAGGGGAGCAACTAGAGGCTGCCAATCTCCTAAGCAACTTTAGGTTGCAAATCTCTCAAGTGTTTTCCTCACTAATCTCTGGATACCTTACAAAAAGTGATCTCCTTCTTTATATAATACAAAATACAATAATACTCCTAACAAGGTTACACAAAAGATTAGTTCTTCTTTTCTCTGCTTTTTCATTCCTCTTTTCTCTGCTTTCCATTTTCGGCTCTTCCATCACAAGTCTTCACTAACCCACTCTGTCCACTTCTGCCGTGGGTTCTGCTACCCTTTTATCTTGCTGACTTGGTCCCCTGCTTTGAACATCCCACCGTTAGTCTTGGTTTCTTGGTTTTCCCCATTGACTTTCCTTCTAGCATAGACCCGAATAGGCTGTGGCTGACCCGGATCCATCACACCCTACCTCCTCTTTTTTCATTCGCCTTTCTTTATCCAAATACACTCTAAAGGTGGTTGCTATTCACTATGATCAATGAGTGCAAAGATAATAGATCCCCCGGCTCTTACAATCTCAATGGTGCTCATTGGATGTGTATAGTACCCTGTTAGAAACCCTAATCTCGTGGAAAAGAGAGAAAACAGCTCTCTTTCTCTTCACACCATGAATATGTCCAAATGGGAGTGGGTATTAACATGGGAAAAAAACTTTAAGGATAAGGTAGCAGATTATTTACAATATTACATGTCATATGTTGTGCACGGACCAACTTCAGCAGTATCTATAACATGCCATGGTTTTGCCAATATGCATGGTGATCCATGCTGATTTCTGGAAATGGTAGAGGTCAAACCCCTGCATTCATCAATGCAACTTATGTTGCCTGCCCAGTGCCCAGCCAAATATGCACTTGACGCCTCTGACCATTGCTGAATTTTCCTTCTTTACTCCTACTTTATCTGTGCTTTCAAATCTAAATTAAGAATTATGATGACCACCAAGAGACTATCTAGAAAACTTAGGTTGCACAAGAACAGGTACTGACACGGATCGGGTACGAAACGGGTACGGGAAAACGTTTATCTCAAAATAAGGGACACGGGTACGAGATGTTAAAATTCATATAATATATTTAAAAAAAAAAAGAATTTGACCATATATTTGTCATTCCGTCATTTCATTAGATCATATTGTATCATATTAACAATGAGCTATATATGAAGGCACCCATATTATTTAAAAATTACCTTATTTATCTTATTTTTCTTAAATTTTCTCATTAAAAAAAAGTTGAACAGTTCATATCATAGTAGGATACGGTCCGAGACGTATCGTCGTGTGTCCCACGAGTGTCGGTGTCTGACACGGACATGGCAGTTGGATGAAGTGTCCATGTATCCTATGCATGTCATACTCAACTCTATGCCTCAAAAGGTATCAAACTACTGAAATAACCATTTAAGGAACTACATAACTGATAACACTCATAACAGTGTTATACTAGGTTGACGAGAGAAAAGTGAGCCTTGTTGAATATTAAGAAAAAAACGTCCAGACTTTGATTTCTTTACCTTTTTGAAAAATTTAGTTCCATGTAATGACTAGTTACATGCAAGGGTCATGGGTTCACATCTTCATGGCTTTTGCACATGAAAGTAACCTTTTCAGTCATTAGGGTTATTTTGATTGTAATCTAATGAATTCCACTTTGCTGCTATCAGGTTCAAGCATTTGTATTTGTGATGGCTAAAGAGGGAAATCGTTATGTTGCCTATCTAGAGGATATGTACGAAGATAAGAAGGGGATGAAGAAAGTTAAAGTCAGATGGTTTCATCACAGTCAAGAAGTGAAGGGTATAGTTCGTATACGGAATGCTCACCCGAAGGAAGTTTACATTACACCTTACACGCAGGTGATAAGTGTTGAGTGTGTTGATGGTCCTGCTATAGTCTTAACCCGTGAGCATTTTGAAAAATGCTTAGAGGGCCTTCCAGATGGTTTGCTGGGAAAGCTACATCTTTGTTGCCGTCAGTTTAGAAGTAACAAAATTAAACCATTTGATCTTAGGAAATTGCGGGGTTATAATAATCAGCCTATTATTTCTTGTTTAGAGTCTGATTCCTTTCTGAATTCTGACTCTGTATGCCGTGGGGTGATTGGGAATAAAGTTAAGATGTTTGGATCAAATGATAATGTAGCAAAAGGGACTAAGAGAACTAGGAATTATGGGGACAGAGAAAGCTTTTTGACAACTCATGGTGCGGAAGGCTTTGAAAGGAAGAAATTTATGCGTGGACCATTTTCTAAGAATGGTAACACTGATGCTTGCGATAAGAGGTTGTTTTCTTTAAAGAATGGGGAATTCCAGCGGTCACACATCCAGTTTTTTAAGGTAGATGACAAAATAGAGCTACTGTGCCAGGACAGTGGCATTCGAGGCTGTTGGTTTAGATGTATTGTCTTGGAGATATCTCGAAAGCAGATGGAGCTCCAATATAGGGATCTGGAGGACCAAGATGGATGTGGAAACCTTGAGGTACTCAATTAATGTCTTTTGCATTTGATTCATGATGAGTTGCTTAGTGACTGCCTGGAATGACATTTAATGATTTTCTCCTTGAAGATCATTGTTTCTGGCTGTTATAAGATTCAAATGGCCATTTAGTTCTGTTGGAAATATTAACCCCTGTTTGGTGCACTTGGCTAAAGTTTGAGTTAGATTAAAATTTGATTTTATTTGGTGGTGTCTTATACTCTATTGCAATGTAATGGTCTTAGTGCTATGCAAATAAACTACTCCATGGCTATCATAAAATCAATGCTTGGGCTGTTTGCCAGTTGCATGTTACATTCCTTTCAGTTGATCTGTTCTTCCTGTTACATCACTTGCAATGCATTTTTGTTTTGATTGTGAGATTCTCTTGGTTGGAGATCTCTTTCCTTTTCTGGCAACTAGTGAATTTCTTCTCAGCATAGCATCTTTATGTGATCTAGAGATGAAAATTTACTTGTGTAACTGCTTCAATGGGCTGCTGGATTAAAAAATATATTTTGAGTGAGCTCTAGCAACAAGACCGTGACTTCACAGAGTACTATAACTTTTCTTTGATAGTTGAAGTTCATATTGCCCTTTTGAAGTCCTAACATGATGAAGTAATAGCATTAGCTTACTTACTCCAGGACTAATTAGGGGCATTTGCTAATATGTCTAACTACTTTGTTATTGTACTTTTTTCCCTCTCACATCCCTTACTTTTAATACAATATTAACTCTACTACATTTTCTTATAATTTTTTAATACCCCAACTACCCCACTTACATCTTATAATATTAAAGTCAATTAATTCACCTAAAACTATGTGCCGGTCAAAATGTAACACTTATAAAATCGGAGGGAGTATAGTCTATATGTAATGTGCTACTGTTGGTTGGTTCTTTACTTTTTCTGAGGATACAACTAATATATGTCGACATTGTTGATTTATGCTGTTTGATAAATTTCAGGAATGGATTCCAGCTTTTAGGATGGCTGCACCAGATAAGCTTGGCATGCGATGTCCTGGACGACCTACAATCAGGCCTTGTCCTCCCATCAGCGATGCCAGCGATGCTGTAGATGTTGAATTTGGAATTGGAGCTCCTGTGGATGCATGGTGGAGTGATGGCTGGTGGGAAGGTGTTGTAACTGTAGTTAACAGTGCCAGAAATGATAAAGTACAGGTTTATGTTCCAGGTACTAGCCGTCCCTTTTTTCTCCCCTTTTAGTCATCAGGCATTAAGTTAATCAGTTTATGTGCCTATTTTATGTTTTCTAATGCTACTTTTTTTTATCTTATCAGGTGAGAACAAGTATTTAGATGTACTTAGAAAGGATCTCAGAGTTTCCCGAGATTGGTTGGGTGGAGAATGGTTTGATGTTAAGGCGAATCCTAATATACTTTCAGATATCAATGCTGAAGCTACACAACCTATAGTCTCAATCCTCGGGAAGGAAAATGCTGCTGATGATTCTGCCGTCAAAATTAAAGACAATGAAAATGAGGATAACTTAGTTGACTTGCCTGCTCCAGCCTCTTCTGTTGGCCATGCCGAACAAATTTCCTCTTCAGACAAAGATGATCATAATGCTGGTCACCATGTCAATGACAAAAGTGATGATGTCAGCTTGCAAGACCATGTCAATGACAAGGATGAACAAACCAAGTTGACATTGATGTCAGCTTGCAAGACATGTCTCATGTGACTGCGATTGTTGGATGATCAGAAAATTGTTGACGATGAAGATGATGGTTGTAAGGAGGGTGAATCAGGTACCGATGATGTGGAAACTGCTGCACAGGCTGATGTGGAAACTGCTGCTCAGGCTGTAGTGGAAAATGCTGCACAGGCTGATGTGGAAAATGCTGCACAGGCTGATGTGGAAACTGCTGCTCAGGCTGATGTGGAAACTACTGCTCAGGCTGATGAAGTTTTGGAATGCACAGGTGTCGCTTAGAGGCTAGAGCTGTTCCTCAAACTGTTATTGTACAAACTAGTGTAGATTTCCTGTAGCGAGCGAGAGGTGATGTTGATGGCATTTGATCTTGCATTTGAGACAATACTCCCAGGTGTACAGCAATTAGGTGAGTCTTCCAAATTGGTTTTCTTAGTTAAATTCCTAGGAAATGCCTTGGATCAAATTCCAGCTGTTATAGAGTACCTTTTAAGTGAATTAGATTTTATGTTTCCTGTTGTAACGTTAAGGTGAACTTCTAGTTTGTATGATCTAAAGTCGTAGTGAAATAAACTTTCAGCCACCACTTAATGTTTGCCATTGTTGGTTACTCCAAACAACAGTTCAAAAGTCATTACTAACAAAAGTAGTCGTTAACCTTTTGTAAATATACTGTGATTAAGTGTATTGCAAATTTCCATTGGTTCGTAGAGAGTAGACTAATTATATTTTGAAGACATGAACTTTTCTGGAGTTGTTAATCTTTAAAATGAATCTTAGGACAATATGCTGGAAACAATTTGGTGTTTTTTACTGAAAGAATTTTGTGTATGCTTTGTATTGTACATGTTTACATAGAGAGCTAACCAATTGAAGTGACTAGTCCTACATATTTTATCCGATTGTTACTGTTAGCTATAGTCTCAACCATTTATTGCCGTCAATAAATTCCATGTCGAGAAATGGCCTGGCGTCCTCAATAGTGAAAGACTTTGCCCATTTTACCCGCCTTGTTGTGTTTGCTCCCTTCCCACTGCACTCGAATTCACCAAACAATGCCGTCCTAAAAAAACATAACGCCAAAACCAGAATTATTTGTATCAGTATAGTTAAACTTTTCGTATCTTTGTTCATATATCATGCAAGTTTTAGCCGTAGTTCAGTATACATACTTCTGCCTTTCTGGGTCACCCCAGTCACTCCACCCTTCTGGTGCAATAATATCATCAATGTCACAGTATGAATATATTGCTCTTGAGTATGGCCCCCAGGCTCTTCCCAGGTAAATCAATCCGCTTCCATTGATTGTACAGTTTAAGAATGAAAACCCGGTATTTTCTTCAGGTGTATTTCGATGATGTGCTGCAATTGCTCCTGATCGATTGGCTATTGAATGAAGAACTGAATTCTGTTGTATGTATTTCTTCAATATCAGAAGAACATAAAAGGCCAAAAAGTCTTTAAAGCGCGATAGAGGGAATGTTTTGTTTTCAGGTTACCTGATATAATGATCTTGCATTGCCAAATATGAAATCGACTGATCCTTGGATGAGGCAGTGGTAAAAGTAGTGTGATCCTGTGTCATCTAAGAGAGTATCTTGAGCACCAAGGATATTGACTTTGTAGAACATTGCCCTTTCAGCTGATACTCTCAGTGCCACTGCTTGCATCCCCAATCCTCCTGGTATTGCCACTACTGTATTCTGCACCCATCATGTAAGCGAAAAAAAAAAAAGGTTACTTGTGTTCAATTGTCGACGAGCAACCCTTTCAAAAGACACGTCGAGAAGGTTACAGTCTCTAATACTAGAAAAAGAATGAGAAGGTACCTCAAAAGTAATCTCAGATGCACAAAAATAATCAGAGAATATGCTGATGGTAGCTGAACCAAAAGTTCCAAGTTCAGCACCATTACTATTTCTATCAGAAGCTTTGTTATTCCAAGTAATTACTGTATTAGAAGTCTGGTTTTCTGTCCCAATGAAGGAAATGTAAGGCTTGGAGCTTGGTACAACTACCCTTTCCCTGCTCAACAACAAAAATCATACTCAAAATTAAGTATATTTACTTATCTAGTACCAAAATATATTGATTTTCCTACCAAATACTTGTACATGTCTCAATCTTATCAACTTTTTCCACAAAAAAAGAAAAATAACTTCAAAATTTTTTTTAACAAACATTGTATTAATCTAACTTGAAATATAGATTCCTTGTGTTAATTCCTATTGATAGGATTTTGATATAAAGTACGTAGCAAAAAAAAAAAAAAAAAAAGGAGAATAGTAAATTATCGATACATATTGTTTAATTTTCTTCATTCATATAAAATCATACTACTTCCATCAATAACCAAAATGTCTCGTTCACTTCAACAAGCAATTCCCAAAATATTTCCCAAGTTAGAACTTAGTAGGTACGAAGTTTTTCCTTTCCACAAAAAAAAAAAACGCGGGGGAAGCAAAATCTAACTTTGTGGTTCATCTAGTAGCAAGATGAAACACTCATAGTTGTTCGAAACTCGAGTTAGTCATGTGTTAGTCTCATTCCCTCGAAATAATCTTATTTTGGCGAATCATGATTTGCAATAAAAGCACCCGACCTAAATTTCCGCTCCAAAAAAACAAAATAGAAAAAAAAAGTTAAAAAAAAAAAAAAGAAAAAGAAAAAAAGTCCAGCGTAACTGTCGAGCGGTAAACACCCACTAGCTCCAAAAATACGACTCAAAACACCAGAACTGCCAACTCAGTAACCGCAGAAAATCTAGAAACAAAAATTGCACAAAAAAATAATGAACATACAAAATTCTGCAAAAATCATCAAATTTCAATTTACAAAATACCTGTAAATTTCAGGAAGAATTAGAATCCTAATTCTCTGAGAATTCCAGAAGGAATCAAATCAACAGCACCTTGAACTGAATCCCTTGTTTTTCCACTTTGATCAACCACAATTACCCCACTATTATTCCAATTTAGCTTATCTTTAATCTCACTGTTTGACACCAAATATTTATAATCATCAACCTTAATATCATCCCATGTTATATAATTATAATCTCTTTGCAAAACTTCTGGTAAAATTTTGACAAAATCCCAACTCAACTAAAACACCCAGAAAACAGAGTATCTGTACTTTTCTCAGTAACATAGCTCAAATTATGTGGATTTGTGTGGGGTAATTGCTAAAATTGAAGGATTTGATGAAATTTGAAGTGGGTATTGTTGGTTTTGATGGGAATGTGAAAAAGGAGAGAGAATTTAATACTTGGAGCGTCTACTTTGTGTGACACTTCGGTTGGTAAACTAATTTAATTTTTGAGTGTAAATGCTGGTTAATTTCTGCTATTTTTGTGTTATTTGATGAAAAATGGGTGTCATAAAAAGAGTGTTAGAATTATTATTAATCCCAAATTTATATTTTGGGTAAGATGAAATTTGTAGTGATAATGGAGGAGTTGAGAATTTGCATTTTTTTTGAGATTGTTCTAAAAGTTCAGTGAAAGAATGAGTAGTTAAGAAAGTGAGGTTAAACTTGAGAGCAAGAAAAATGGTTACATGTTCTTGATTTTAATTTTTTAATAAATAATTTAAAGTTTAATTATGGTTATTTCCTTTCCCTCAAAAAAATATTTTTATGAGTGAATTTTAATGGGGTAGTTATTAAAGAGGAAGCTAGAAGGAGTTAAAATAACTGCCTTAAATAGTTAATATTAATGTTTTTGCTGATTTTTTTTACTGTTTCATTCATATTGTAAGAGCCTATTAAAATAATGAAGTGAGGCAAAGAGTCATGGGAAAAATGAAAATTTTCTATTTGAGCAAGCACTATGCCGTTGTACTTGCCATTAATGTGGGTTTTAAGTATCTAAAAATGTTTGTATAAAATCACACCTTCAATGCATTTACAACCTAGACTTCTACATATAGTCTTAAACTCTAATAACAATTTCGAAAAAATAAAGAATGTGTGTATATTGGATTGGTTTATGTAGAGTCTACTTAGTGTGGGTGTTTGAAAGAGGAAATCAGTTTTCTATAAGAATCAAACTCTCAACGCCTTAATTGATAGAAAAAGAGAAAGATGTATATAAGAATTATATAGGAATAAAACTCTCGACAATTCAACTTTTGAATAAGAGATGATGAGTGTATAACGTACTTTATTTATCGTTAGTATGATTTTGTGAATATACTTTAATTCAGTAAGCATATCACATGTGTGCATGTCACGCCCAAGAAATTCTATTTGCTCAAGAAACTTCATCATTGTCTCGTTCAAAGAAGATGTATGTCAATATGACAATGTTACTATTTGTTCATAAGAATAATTTGACTTACAATAAATCCATTTTCAAAGTTTTGTGTACAAGTCAATATTTAAGCTTATTGAAAATGTTATGTTACATAGTTACATCTAAAGTAAATAGGCAAAATAGCTGTGCACTGGATGCATGCTAACTTGTGTAGCTTGTTGGTTCATATGAAGTACAATTTAATGGCAATGCTTAATGGTTTGTTCTATATCTTCTTTACTCTTGAAAATTTTGATAAAACATTAAAGTATAGAGAAGTAAGAGAACCTCTTAGAAATTTGATTGAACTGACTTAAGGTCTCATAAAGGATATGGAGTATATTGTTCTATGAACAACTATAGAAATTATAGGATGATTTTTTTTTTTGGAAGATATCCTCTTTTATGTCCTTTAATTCACGATATATAGATAAGTTACTCATCATTAAGAGAATAGATTATAAGTATTCTCTTTTATGTCAAGAAGTTGATTTAAACAATTTAATAAACTAGTTAAATTAATTAGTTTTTAAATGCTTGACTCTCCATATTACATCATTGAAATGTAATATTACTCTTCATTGCATATGAATCACAAATGGAGGACACCAACTACTTCAATCGGTTAAAGTATGAGCTGAAATTGAATCTCGCCTATATTTCTACAATAATCTAACAATATGCAATGTTTGACGCAAACATTACTCATTCTTAGGCATTCCTTCGCTTATTTTATTACCAACTAGACTACTTTACATTCATACACTTCCATACTTTCATGCTAAGAAGCCCTTTACATAATCAGACACCAAAGTTATGTGGCCCACTCTTATACATCACAACAACGTTTAATATGGTTATTTGCTAAAATGCTTCATCTATCCAAGAAAAAAAAAGTCATTATAATCACTAGATTGTTGCCTGAAATGTGTTTGTACTTCGTAGCCTGTAAAATGACCATAGGCTAATAGTAGCGGTTTGTAAAGATTACAGACCGCCAAATAAGCAAAAGTCTAATAAATACTTCCTCTGTTTTTTTTACTTGACTTGTTTTTTTTATCACGCTTGTCAATGCAAAACTTTAACGATTAATAAGTTTAATTCTTCATAAGTAAAAATTAAAAAAGTTATACATTATGATAGTACTCATTGAGACAAATTCAAAAAAATCTTGCATATATATTTTTCTTGTAAAAGTCAAAGCGGGTCAACTGTAAAAGAACGGAGGATGTAATTTTTTTTTTTAAAAAAATAATCCTTTAAAAACAATTGGAAAAAAAATAATAAAAAGAAAAAGAAAAGAAAGTTTTCGGATAACATAACCCTGTAAAACCAAACCACTAGGCTAAGGGAGGAGAGAGAGAGAGAAGAGATAGAGGCGTGTTTGGGTGACAACAATGGCGACTTCTTCGATTTCAGCTGCTTTATTTTCTCCTCTTACAATTCGTAATACATCTTCTTCTTCAACCAAACTTGACTTTACCTCTCCTTCTCTCTTAAACCTCAGAAGAACCCTAACTCTTACTCAACAATCATCCACCTTCTCCAACTCCTCTAATTTCACTACTTTTGCTGCTCCTGAAACTTTGGAGGCTGTCGAAACTTCCCCAGATTCATTTCAGGTCTGATTTTCTGGTTTAATATAGGGATTTATTGTATTATTTGTGTTAGTTTCTTGGTTTTGAACTTGTAGTGAGTAATTTGTGCTGAATTTTGAGATGGGTATTTCTTAATTGTGTAATTTGCATATTTTGGTGAAATGGGTATTTGATAATTTTGTTATTTTTGGATAATTGAGTCATTGCTTTGTTTAGATATTCTTAAATTTGGTATATAATGAGTAATTTGTGCTGAATTTTGAGATGAGAAAATCATAATTTTGTAAATTGTTTGTTTTGGTGAAATGTGTATATAATAATTTTGATTTTAGATAATTAAATCATTAATTTGCTCTGATGTTCTGAAATTTGCTATATAGTGCTTCTTGGTTTTACTTGTGAGCTTGTAGTTGAGAAATTTTTGCTAAGTTTTAATATGAAATGAAGTTAAATTTATATGTTATGTGCATAGTTTTAGTGTGGAAAAAAAAAAATCCCTTTGAATTCCTGGTTTTATTCGTTAGCTTAAGAGGAATATGTCTTGGAATAATGTGCTTGTTGTGGAATGTAATTGTGATATAAGTGCATCTTAAGTGGGTCATTTACACTGCAGCAGTCTCCTGTTGATGTGTGTATGTGTGCGCGGGCATGTGTGTTCTAGTATTTTTTGGTGTCGGGGTGCAATGAAATTGAGAGTAACAAGATTTGTGTTTTTTTTGCTGGTGTGCTTGTGTAAGGTGTGACATTATGATAGATTATGTTGTTTTTGTCAAAGATGAAGGTAATAGTTTGTTTCTTCTTTCCTTATGGTTGTTTTATTCTGTTGTGTAGGATGGTTCTGAGACTTCCACTCTCAGCATTGGTACTGACTCTGATCAGGTATTGAGCTTTTCTTCCCTTGGTTGCTATTCCTGATGCTACAGAGTTAAATTATTTCGAAAATTTCATGTTGAATAACTTAAAGATAGCTAGTGTATAAAGCTTAAACCCACGCAAAAATTTGCCATCGATGTTCCATAGTTAAGCTCTTTTTTCTTATGTCTTGTCACTTTCACTGTAAGGGTGCTTGGAACAAGTTTCTGGAGTCAACCATGTTTCCAGGTTGTATAAGTATCTTGAGTGTATATAGACTACAAACTTAAGACCTTTA